TGAGGGAGATAGTAGGTCATGGAGTCTGTGGGAGTGCAGACTGCTGAGCGCTGACAGATGAATCAGCGTGTACTGATGAGAAGACTTCTCACCTCTGTCCTCTCAGAGCATCGCTATTTCTGAGTACATAAGTAGCCCACAAAGTACTAGGGGCATGCGCCACAGCAACGATAGGCACTCACCTTACAGACCTCCCCTGCTTTTTATCTCCGACCCAGTTGTCGTGCTAATTGTTGTTCATTAACAGCCAGGGCCCGGGGAGGAAACAGTGCTGCGCGCGCAGCTTCACTGAGTCTGACACGCACGTGCTGAAAGTAGGCCAACTGCAGAGCCAGCGGGAGGAGAGCGAAAACGCAGCTGACATCCATTATACATGCAGCTATTTCAGAATGCAATGTTCAGAAATGTCTATACTAGTTCAGGTAATGGAGCGCCAACGGTTGAAAGAAATCTTCAGTGAGTCAAAAGACTTTATTATGGCCCCTTCATTTTGAACAAAGGGAATTTGTAACTGGTTATAAAACAGTGCCAATTTAATACTGATGCCTCTACTATTAGACTTGCTCACGTCATAATTACTGAGGCAGCTGGTCGCTGCTTAACGATAAATGTAAATATGGGTAGTAATAAGCATGCTTGCACAGACAACCTATACGACCGTCTGTGATTAACGCTGCGGCATCGCAAACCCTCTCTTTGATATCACAGTTTGAATCATTGGCTTCAACAAAAAGTAATTTAATGCATGTCAGTGCTCACAGCCCAGCGGCTGCACTGCTGCACTGCTGCTCCCATACTGCAGTTACAGTTGATAACGTGCCGACCGACAGCTGCGTCGTGGAAGGGTAGCGGCCACCCTCCGGTTCCCCCTCAGGTTAACACTGTTCGCTATCTTCGCTATGATCATAAGCATGCAATTGTAGTTAGGTCAAAGGTGCTACATTTGAAATTCAGAGTTTATCTATTGACTCCACATGGTTCTCAACATGGGAGAAGCTCAGCCTATAGCTAGCAGTTAACAGTGCTGACAGGGCTCACAGTGCAAACAACGGTAATTGTGCTGACAGGTTAACACTGTTAGCTATCTACGCACGTTTTCTGTAGTTTGTTAGCGCTGTTGGCACCATTAGCTATGAACCTACGGCTCAGCCATTGCCATGTTAAGAGCCGCTGAGAGGGAATTTCAAATGCTCCCAATTTTGTACTCGCTAGCTAGCTAGCTAAGAAAGTACAACATTAAAATAAAAAAGCTTTGGGTTTGTTCATCTATTTGCCTCTTGACTACAGGGTAACAGCTTCCTCCGCATTCTAGACTTTGTGATAAGAAAGGCAAGATGAAGAGGACCTCATGTATTCACAATTTTCTTTGATTAACTAGAAAATCTATCGATATATAATCTTTTTAGCAACAGAGATCTGGCCAAAATGGCAGTGTAGAGTGGTTAATACACAGTCACTTGAAACTTATCATGTTAGTACACATAGGACAACATAGGACCTGAGAGCTATAACAAAAATTACTATTTAAAGAATGTACAGTCTTCATGGAACATGTTTTAAAAATGTCATTTTAAGACGCTTGTCAGATGATGAAGTTTATTTTTAGTTTATTTAAGTACAAAATGCTGCGAAAAGAATAATTGTTTTTAAGTGTAGGTAGGTAGTTTACCAGCAGTGGCTGTAAAGACAAAAGAATGACATATAAATCTTGATTTATTGACCTGGATATAAAGGCAAACAAGTGCACTTCAAACACATTTCTATTTTAATTAAAATGGAGGGGAAAAAGGTTGATATGACATCTTATATTTGTCAGGAAGCTTTCTTTGCCTCCGATTTCTGGCACAGCATCAGTATTACAGATGGTCAACTTCAAGGAGTGTGGTGCATGTCAAACCTGATCACATTCCTCTGCTGTCATCCCTTCATCCTCTCCTCCTCGTCCTGCCCTTTGCTGTCTTTCTCCTCCTTCCGTCCCATCTCTCTCTCCCCTCACCCCATGCTACCTCTGCTTATTTCCTCTCCTCCCTCGCTCTCCCGCAGACAAGCTGTGCTTCAACTCCTTCTTCAATAACGAGGATATGCAGGAGATCACCAAGCACTTTGTGGTTTGCCATGTCGACGCCCCGGGACAGCAGATTGGAGCGTCACAGTTGCCACAGGGGTATAATATGCACACAAAATAACCAGTAATGCATGGATAATTATTTATAATTTAATATGTGTTGGTGGTCAGGGGATTAGACTATTGCTGAAGAGATAATGCTGCAGATAACATTGTTTTTGGGGATTATCTCAAATATGTAAAAAAAGAAAACAATTTTTATGCACTGATTATCACAGTATGGGAAGCAATGATGACGAGAAGTTGTGTCCTCTCTCTCCACAGGTACCAGTACCCTACTATGGATCAGCTGGCTGGGATGTTGCCCACTGTGGTGCAGCACTTTGGGTTGATGCTTTTTCTACATCCACATCCACATCTTTTCACAAGTCTGACACAGACAATGTTTTATTTTTTGTGTTATTTAAGAGCCATCTGCAGCGAAATCATGTCCTCTTTGTGCTGTAGAAGCTGAAAATGACGAGACATGTTTGTCGCTGCAAAAAACTATCAATTTCAACTTCCCTGTTTATATCAACGCTTTCAGATATTTATTAGTACATTCAAAATGATCATGAGCATGTGATTTTAGTTAAGTTAAAGGTGCTAAATTTGAACTTCAGAGCTTATCTATTACCTCCACATGGTTCTCAACATGGCAGCAGCTGAGCCGACAGCTAGCAGCTGCCAGCTGACAATGCTCACAGCGCTAACAGTGCAAATAACGGCAATAATGCTGACATCCCTAACAGTGCAAATATCATCAACAGTGCTGAAGGAGCTAACAGTGAATACAACAGCAAAAGTGCTGATAGTGCAAACAAAGGCAACAGTGCTGATGGCACTAACAGTGCAAACAACGGCAACAGTTTGGACAGTACTAACCAGTGGTGGGCCGTCAGGGCCAACAAAGCCTTCTCTGCTGGCCTAAACAGAATCACAAAGTTATAGCTATTTTATAATTTTATAATTTTTCTTAAATACACTACATGTATTATAATTTATAAAAATATTTTTCCCATTATCTTATTTTCTCATTGCACAGCTACTGTCTTCCTCTGTTGCTCTGCTTCCAGTGCAGCTTGTTTTAAGTAGAGCTTTTATCCAATCAGATTTCACCTCTGTGTCTCTAGGTAAGAAGAGAGGCCCGAGGCCTTCAGACTCACAAGTGAATCCCTTTGCAGTTTAAGTGAATGGGGACGATATTGTTGATTTTCATAGTGTTCAACCAATCAGATCTTTAGTTTGACATGTTGGGCATATTCTTTGACATGCCAGAGCCTGCTAGCTGGCCTACAAGTACGTCAGCATTACGTGTAGCTCAGTTTTCAAGTGCAGCTCTGCAGTGAGGTGCAGTGTGCGCTGAGATTGGTCAGTGGGCGAGCACGTGACTATTGTGAAACTAAACTTAAAGTAGCCATCAGAGGCTTAGTCGAAGTAGAGTTCAAATTGAAAGATATGGAAGAAATTATGATAATTTTTGCATTTTGCTTGGTGTAGATTTTTGTTTTTTTTACCCAGCTTTGTTTTTTTAACACTCAATGGCTGAAGGAGGAGGAGAAATGGATCTGTGAGTTGGGATTTAACTGTGGGATTAAACTCTTTGTCAACAAAGAAAGGAAGATGGAGTTTGACTTTAAGTTAACAGCATTTGGTAAGCCAACTGCATTTGTTTTTTTACATCTAATATCTGAATGGCCCTCGAGTGTGTAGCAGAATGCCTGTTCTGCTGCAGGTCTGCTGGATTGATTTGTCATGCTTTGTTGTCATATGAATATATGTGACTGGTTCTTGTGAGTTTGTTGTTGTCATTGCGTTAATTATATTGATTTGGACTATATGCATTGTCCGTTAATTACGAAGCATACCGTCATGCGCGGAGTTATTGTCTGGACAATTGAATCTGTTTGGGCTGTTTTCTTTTCCAAAGCAAGAATGATGGTCTGGAGAATTGGGGATTGTGTGGCGATTGCTTTAGCCCTGTTTGATTCAGTAGGGAACAGCTACCTAAACCTGCGGGGAGAGTTCGTAGCTTGTTTGCTGCTGTTGTTTTCCCGTTAAGCTAGTTTAGCGTAGCCTCCCAGAACACACGTGCGCTAACTCAGCTGTTTTTGTTTTTTTGTTCCGGGTTCAGAGGTCACACAGCCCGTTGTCTGCTACGTGAGCGCAGAAGACATTATATTTCCTACAATTTAAGCTTCTACATTTTCCAAATGCACTAGTATTATTCAAACGTATTGTTCGGTTCGTAAGCCTCGTACCGAACGGTTTAATTTGAATACGTGTAGTTACACCCCTAGAAAAAAATAACCGTAGCTGTGTCGTCATAATGAGGTTATTAGGAGTTGGCTTAGCTGCAGGACCGCAGTGAAGGCCCAGGTATAAAATGCACGGCCCGCCACTGGTACTAACGATGTAACAATGCCAAAAGTGCTGAGAGAGCTGACTATGTTAACAGTGCAAACAATGGCAAACGGCTGAAGAGAGCTAACAGTGTTCAATTGAATGGGAACAGGGGGTCGTAGCTACGCCCGTCAGAACGGTGTTATCAGCTATAACCGCCGTATGAGAGCAGTGCAGAGCAGCGGCCGTGAGCTAGTGAGCTCAATATTGAGTGAAGACATTCCCTACTAACAGAAAGGGATTGTAGCGTGAACATACAGTACCAGCCACAGTACAAAGCTTGGCTCCTGCACAAGCATGAATTCCAATCCATCAAAGCCATTGAACAGCATATAGGCACACCGTGACTCTCTCTTGTATCCATGCAGGCTCCACCCATTTGAAATGTTTACAGTTGTATATCATTATTTGTCTTTTAAACGTTGCCTGTAACGTTCTTCTTTTTTAGGTTTAAGAGCATCGTGGGGATTGGAGTCGGAGCTGGAGCTTACATTCTGGCCAAGTTTGCTGTAATTCACATCCTGATTCATCTACACTGTACTTTAACATTCAGGGTTCAAGTGTTCTGAGCAGTGTTTTGGTTAAAGTTGTCAATCTCTGAATCCAAAACTAAATATGTTTCTATGTATTCTGCTCTCAGCTGATCTTCCCTGACCTGGTGGAGGGTTTGGTTCTGCTCAACATTGACCCCAATGGCAAAGGCTGGATTGACTGGGCTGCCACCAAGGTACCTGTCTATGACTATATATACGTAATGTATTTTGAGTGGGTGCAAATACACTTACAAATTCAGACCTGCTTTTTTATTCTTGCAACAACAATGTCCTTGTGTTCCCCCCCAGCTGTCAGGTCTGACCAGCGCTCTGCCAGATACGGTGCTGCCACATCTTTTCAGCCAGGTAAGCTCAGGTTCCGGGAATAAAAATGGGGAATATATTTTTTTTCAATTGCTATTCCAGTTTTCTTCATTTTCTGGTTCTTGTTAGAAATATGACAAGCAATGCAAGTAAAAATGACTTCCTTGATTCTCAAATCAAAGACTATATTTATGTGTCACAGAAAGATATTAAGCCAGTTTATGTGTTTGTCTGCAGGAGGAGCTGATGAACAACACAGAGCTGGTGCAGAGCTACCGGCAACAGATCAACAACACCGTCAACCAGTTCAACCTGCAGCTTTTCTGGAACATGTACAACAGGTGGAGAGATACAGTTTCCTACTCACACACACACACACACACACACACACACACACACACACACACACACACACACACACACACACACACACTCACACACTCTTAACACTCTCTTAACATTCATGTTGTCTCTTTCAGTCGGAGGGACCTGGAGATGAATCGCAGTGGCACGGTGATCAATGCAAAGACCCTGAAGTGAGTCTCATAAAACAACCGCGTACTTAATCGCATGATTTTTCTGCGATTAATCGCATTGTTCTGGCAAAGTTCAATAGTGAATTCAAAAGTAGTGTATTGCGCACTTTTATTGTAAAAGTACTGCTATATGAACAAAAGTGCAATAACATTTGGTTTGCAAACACTTTAAATAAATAAGGTTATTTTTAACAGCAGTATTCCCTTTACACAGTAGCAGTTAAAATATTTCTTGTATATTATATATATTTTATGAAATCAACACATCAAAAACAGTATTGTGTGTTGAAATAATATTCTATGAATAATTTAAGCCACTATAATTTAATCGAAAATCTTCCCCAGATTGGAATGCTTAGTATGTGTTGTGGAAGTCCCAGATATCAGGAAACTAAACGTCGTCTTGTCTGGTTCATACCAGTCCGGAGGAGCTCCGTGGATTTTATCGAGCTGTGTTCACTGTGTCTAGCAAGCTACACGTCGGCCGTTTACTACAGCTGTATGAACACAAAATAAACCGATTTGGCTGTGATTTAACTGCAATAAACCGACAAAAAGGGACCCCGAAATAACTACGTAATGATGCCGATTTGTAAAAAGCCTGAATTCATGTTTTGTTAGTTCTCTCCACAAGACGACAAGCAAATAACTTTTAAAATGCTTGTTTTCTCAATGGAGTCTGTATCGATCGGTGCTAGGCTATGCTAACATTGTAGCAGCTCCATCAACACTCAACGTAACGTCACGTAGGTGTAAATACGGCAGCGTCTATTCATTGTTTGTACCATATGGTTTACACACACAAATTTATACACATAGTTTGGTCCGCTCTCCACTAATATGAGGTATCGTAGAGCTCTGGGTGAACACAGACGGATACAGTATTTGTTTCCTGATTCAATGTCAGGACGTCATTGACGACAGGAGGAGCATCTCAACGCTGATAGGCTATTTTAATTTTAATAACGCGTTAACTTGCCCAGCACTAATATATATATTTTAAAGCTCCTAAGAGGAACTTTTATTTTGTTTTGGATTCTGGCGGTCCCTGTGGACAAAAGTGGTTGTGTTTCGGAGAACCAGAGTCCCTTTAGAAAACCTCTATTTTACTAAAGCAGGGTCTGACAGTCTGCTCTGCATAGTCCTGGTTCTGGTTTCCCATGCCTCCCTTCCCGCCTCATAGTGACTTTAAGTGTGACATTTGCTGCTTAATATCACTGTGAATAAAATATGTGGGGTTTTTGGACAAAAAAATTATACTTTCTTTCCTGTTTTGTTGGATTCCTTGAACTAAACCAATAACTGATTAATACAAATAACAATTGGTAGAATCCTAGCAATGGAAAAAAACTCAACATATAACCATGATTCTGATAAATTCAGGATGGTGTGAACTCAAGCTACTCATCTAAACATTCTGACTGTTCCTGAAGGTGTCCTGCGATGCTGGTTGTGGGAGACAACGCCCCGGCTGAGGAGGGAGTGGTGAGTCCAGCATCTTCATCCATACACTCTGAAAATGTACCCTCATAGCAATACCTCTGTTTCACCAGCTATCGGTCTTCTTTAGCTCACTCCTTTCACTTCCCCACTGAGATGACTTCCTGTTTCAAGGATTTATAAATCCATCTGAAGCTCTAAACAGCTAGCTCTCCCCCTCCTCCCCTGTTCTTACCCTGTTAGATGTTTTGTTCTCTGCATTTAAATCTAGGTAGAGTCTGTTTGTCCTCATTCAGTAAAACAGAAACAAGTTAGCCAGCAGAGAGAGACGTGGTTCACTCTCTCTGAACCCAGGGACTGTGTGTGTGTGTGTGTGTGTGTGTGTGTGTGTGTGTGTGTGTGTGT